GAAACAATTTCTGGAGGATGAGGCCCAGAAATCAGGATTTTAAAAAGATTCCCAGGTGATTCTAATGTGCAGCCAAGGTAAGGGTTGGCAAGGACAAGCCACTTATGGAGTAATGGTACTGGCCTTTTGTGCAAAGCCTATGGTTTTGGAACAATATAGCTTGATGCAAGGACTCTGTTCAAACAGAAATTTTTACTGAGGGATAAAATCTACCAGCTGGCTTTGTGCTAGAGGCTTCTAAAACAGCCCTGAGGGGGGAATTAAGTTCTTCTGTGCCACTTATATTTCTCTAAAGATAAGCATTTGTCTCTCAATAGGTACTTTTTTATCGTTGGCTGGTTGCAATGTTTGACTTCATTGATCACAAGGAGAACATTAACTTGCTCTATGGCTTCTTTTTTGCTTCATTGCAAGATGATGCACTGGTAAGTAAAAATTGAAGAGCATCATGCATCAATCAAATGGTATGTGCTTGTATATTGACGTACCACATGTGCTTCAGAGTGCCACACAATGTGTTTTTCCTTATTTGAAAAGATAGCAAACATAGAAAAGTATAAAGAATAACATTACACCCTTGCACCTGTCTCAGATTAACAAATATAATTTTTTTACTGTATTTGCTTTATATCTTCTTTCAAGGAAATACAACGTTACAAATATAATTAACTCCGCATTGGAGTCTCTTTGCTGACCGAGAGCAGTGATTGCTATCTTTTCCCTTTTAAACCACTTACATGGTGTCCTTTGGGTCATTTATTCTACATTTTCTTGATTAACACTGCAAAATCTTCATCAGAATTAATGAGAAGGAGAGGGTTGCTTTTCATGAGATGCCAGTAGACTGATTTTGTTTAAATAGCATAATTACTCCCATTGAAAACATGAATAATTCTAAGAAAACAATCTACTGTCCACCTGGAAGACTTCAAAGACCATGTGAACCATTCATCTAACCAAATTCCTCTAATTTTTAAAAATTGACATTTCTACTGTGTTCATTGCATTGAACTAGGCAGTGCAGAAGATTCAAAGTTTAGCGGATGGTTTCTGTATTCCAGGGATTTATAATCCATTTGGGGGATTAAGGAAAGCACATAAAGTTAAATAACTCAAGAATTAAATTATCAAAGACAGTATATAATAGTGTGAGAAGAATAATTGATGCGATATTTCCTGGAAGGCAGAGAAAACTAAACCAAAGTGATTAGACAAAGCATTATAAAGGGTTTGGGTATTGAGCTGTGCCTTGAAGATTGAATAGGATTTGAGATTTGATAAAAAGAAATGATGTTTGACAGGACTATTTCAAGCAAAGTTGTGAGATGTATAGATTGTGTTTAAGTAAGGTAGGAGACCTTAAGTAGACTGACTGATTTACAGTTGGTGTGAGGCGGTGGTGGGTTGTAAGGCTTGAAAAGTTGAGTGAGGAGAGATTGTAGAGGTTTCTGAATGTGATGCTAAGGAATTGAACTTTATCCTCTATCCATTGGGGAAATCATTGAAAAAGTTTGGGCAGAACATGTTGAAAGGAACATTGTAGGAAGCTGTATCTAGTTATGCCAAACAGTATGAATTAGGAGGGAGGCTAGAGTTAGGAAAACTATTTAAGGGACTAATGTGGTAATCCAGGTACAACATGACGAAGTTGTAGACTGGCGATTCTTAAATGTTTTGTGGTCTCTTTGAGGCTCCCTGAGACCTTTCAGACCTCCTAAAAATTATTTTCATAGCAATATCAAGATGTTATGTGCTATTTTCACTGTGTTTGCATTTGCACTGATGGTGCTAAAGCAATGGTGGTTAAAACTGCTGGTGCCTTAGCCCAAATCAGGACAGTGGAGCCAAGCTCTACTAGTGGTCATTGTATTCTTCACTGCAGAAAAAAACAAGAATGCTAGTTTCACTTAAGCATGTCCCAAATGAAGTAGTAAAAATTAACTCATTAGTTTTATTAAATTTCAACCTTTAAAATATGTCTTCAATATTCTGTGTGATGAAATGGAAAGCACAAATAAACCTCTTCTGCATACTAAAGTACAATAGGTGTTTTGAGGAGAAGCACTTGTATGACTGAGTTGTGAGCTAAACTATTAGCCTTTTTTCATGAAATACCATTTTAAATTGAAAGAATGACTGACATATAAACTATGGTTATTCAGACATGGGCATTTGGCAGATGGTGAGACTGTCATTTCAAAGAAAACAAATGGCAATATTTGTTGCCAATGGTAAAATTTGAGCTTTCAAGTAAAAATTATAAGTTTAGAAAATTTGTATCTGCCATTGTAAACTTTACAACTTACATAAAGACTTAGAGAGCCCTAGCTGGTTTGGTTCAGTGAATAGAGCATCAGCCTGCGGACTGAAGGGTCACGGGTTCGATTCCGGTTAAGAGCACATGCCCATGTTGTGGGCTCAACCCCCAGTAGGGGGTGTGCAAGAGGCAGCTAATCAGTGATTCTCTGTCATCATTGATGTTTCTCTCTGTCTCCCTTCCTCTCTGAAATCAATAAAAATGTATTTTTAAAAAGACTTAAAGACGTTTCAGATGAGATTGGTAGTTGCAGTATTAATGAATGTGATTTTTATTTGTTAAGCATTTTTGTTGTTGTTAATCCTCACCTAAGGGTATTTTTTTTCATTGATTTTTGTTTTTTTAGAGAGAGTGGAAGAGAGGGAGGGGGAGGAGAGAGAGAAACATTGATGTGAGAGAGACAGACCGATTGGTTGCCTCTTGTGCCACCCGGCTGGGGATCGAACCTGCGACCCTTCGGTGTGTTAGTCAATGCTTTAACCACTTAGCAACACCAGCCAGGACATGAATATGATTTTTATTTTTTTTAACTTTAAATTTGTTTTTATTGTTGATAGTATTACAGATATTTCCCATTTCTCCCCTCCTTTCCCCTCCCAGGTCTTCACTACCCTGTTGCCCGTGTCCATGGGCTATGCATATAAGTAAATAAATTCTCTTCTCATCACCCTAACCCCACATCGAGGTATGTCAGTTTGTTATGAATGTGATTTTTAGATATTGTGTAATTAAATGTGTCAGTATTTGGAACTCAGTGAACCAATATATTCTAGATGATATAAAATCATGCATGTATTAAAAATTCATTCAAAATGCAAGATATATCAATGAATTTTAATGGAACAGAGTAAATGTTCATTGATAAGATTTCAGAATCCACATAGCCACTAACCTTTAAGAAACTACTTCTTAATCAAGTTTTTGTATAGTACCAAAGACTAATATTCACGATTTTCTGAAAAGGCTATTAAAATACTCCTTTTCTAACTACATATCTGTGTGAGGCTAGGTTTTCTTCATGTACTTCAATCAGAACAACATGGCTTTTTTAACTTCAATAATTTTTTATTTTTCAATTACAGATGACATACAATATTTCATATGTTACTAAGTGATCACACCAATAAATCTAGTACACATCTGACACCATACATAGTTATTACAATATTATTGACTATATTCCCTATGCTGTACTTCACATCTTCATGACTGTTCTGTAACTACCAATTTGTACTTCTAAATCCCTTCACCTTGTTCACCTATCTCCCTGACCCCCTCTTATCTGGCAATAGTCAAAATAGACAGCATATCTTAACATGTTCAAGGAAGAAGCAGAGAATCTAACTGTATTCTATTAAGTCCGAAACAGTGAAGAAATTTGTAGAAATGTAAGTCTATGCCACTCTAGTCAATTTTTTGTTGGGAAAAAATAGTTATTTTTCACAAAATGTCATTTATGTTAGCATGTATTAGGTTTATTATTTTTCATGAATAATAAACATTTTAAAGTTTCTAATATAATGAATATTGATAGATATCCATATAAATGAAAGCTTTTGGGGAAGGGGGTCTCTAATTTTTTAAGAATGTAAATATGAGACCAAAAAGTTTGAGACTCACTGTCCTAGACCAAGGTGGTGGCAATGAGAATAAAAAAATTGAAAGGATGTATTTTAGGGAAAATTATAAAGGAAGAATTGACATGAGCTGGTACTTAAATTGGATTAAGGGAAGGGTCAAGAAATAAAGATCTGTGTTTTTAAGTCAGCATGACTCAATGATGGTAGCTTTGATACTAAAAGGAAATTTGTGAGAAGGAGATAGTTTGGAAGGAATATATTAAATACAAACTATGCCAGGTATTTAACTAGTATTGCAAATACAAATATAAATAAGACATAATAGTTAACTCATGTGAGGATTATATGCCAGGCACTAGGTGATTTATATATAGATATAGTATTTCATGAACTCCAAGATACCTTCAGTTGTAAGATGCATCATTATCTTATGGACCACTATGAAAGAATTCTACCATTAATACTGTCACATAATATTGATGACAGGATTAGTCCTATTTTCAGAGATGTTAAAATGTAAAAGAAAGAAATGTTAGAAGACTATGTAAAGTATTTCTTTCTGGTTCTGAGAGTCTGAAACTTCTTTTTTTCTTACTTCAATATTCTTATTTTACTTGATTTTGAGACAGAGAGAAAGACATCAATTTGTTGTTCCACTTATTTATGCACTAATTGGTTGATTCTTGTATGTGCCCTTGGCATATTGGGACAATGCTCTAACAAACTAAGCTACCTGGCCAGGGCCTTACTTCAATATTTTTTTTGTTTTTAAATATATTTTTAATTTCAGAGAGGAAAGGAGAGGGAGAGAGAGAGATAGAAATGTCAATGATGAGAGAGATCAGCTGCCTCCTGCACGCTCTCCAGTAGAGGTGAGTCTGCTACCCAGGCATGTGCCCTCACCAGGAATTGAACTGTGACCTCCTGGTTCATAGGTCGATGCTCAACCACTGAGCCACACAGGCCAGGCTTACTTCAATATTCTTGGGGGCAAAACATTTATTGAGTACCTACTATTTTTGTACTTCTGCTGTCCAATACGCTAGCCACTGACATCATACGACTAGTGAGCACTGGAAATGTGGCTAGGCCAAACTGAAATGTGCTCTAAGTGTGCAATACATACCACTTTTATTCCCATTTTAGAGATGAGGAATCTGAGGCACAGAGAAGTCAAATAATTACGTAGGGTCACATGACTAGAGCAAGGATTTATGGAAAATTATATCATTTCCATTTTAGAGATGAGACAACTGAGTCCTGGAAAGTTAGGTAGCTTTGCTAAGGAAAGCCACTAGTATGAGGCTGAGCCTAGAAGGTCTTTACATTTAATAAGGGAAAAGATAAGTAAGTATGATGAATCCTGTGATAGTACCCATAGGGTTCTATGGGGAGAGGTATCAGAATAAGACTAGGGATCAGGGTTAGAGTTACAGAAATTTGTTTTCAACAGGGAGAGAGATACCTCTCCTGACAATAAGCAAAAAAGATAGGTGTTGGTGCTAACAAATTTGTGGGTTAGTAAGTG